CCAAGGCTCCGGATGTGCCGTCAGCATCCTGTGTACAGCTCCTCCAAAGCAAGGGCGCATCACCTTCTCCGGCTAACTCTTCCTCTTCCTGACTTCCCTATGTCAGCTAAAGGGACCAACCTCGTCACCCATCACCTCATCACTGAAATGTCAAACCCCAGCCAAAAAGTGTCTGTTCTGCAAGATGATAGCTACTTTCGCAATCTCTCTAGAATCAGTCTCTTCTTTTCCATTTCTACTGCCAAATTCCAGCTTTCACTACGTCTCACCTGGACCCTATCTCCCTAGTTTTCCGTTTCCTTCCTCCCTTCTTTTCTTGTCCCCTTACAACCAGCTATATATATCCTGCCGCCAGTCTGCCCCTTGCCTGCTCAGGAACTTGTCAGAACGAAGTGCTCCATCTGCCACCTGCCAATTCAAGTCGTCAAGTGGCTTTCTGGACTGATCTCTTGCAGTGTCCATTTCCTCTTCTTCTGGGGATTGTAATTTTTCAATACAGTCTGGGGGGATTGCCTACCATGCCACCAGCCCTCCCTGCTAGGCTGGGTCAACCAGACATCTCCTCCTTGGGATGTGCACCCCAAGCTGTGGTGACAAAATTACTGAGCATGGCTGCAACAGATTTATCCTGGCGACAGTGGTACCTTGAAGTCGGCTGGCCTTTGGTTCCTTCTGTACCCACTCTGAGACCCTGGAGGGGACATGGGCGTTGAGTCATCTCTCCGATTCTGGGAGTTCCCACAATCTTCTAAGGCAGTCCTTTCCTGCCAAACTCAGCCAAGCTGTTGCTTGTAACCAAAGAGGATTTTCTTAGTACTTTTTGACATACATTTCCTATGTTCCAGCCAAAAGGGAAAACTCCCTAAAAGTGCCATGATGGCCTCCCTCAGCACCCGTTGGCACCTCTCCAGTCCACAGGCACTGCTGAAGCTCTGCATGCCCCTCTTCTGAAACCTCTATGGGGATGGCTTCTGCTTTCTTTAAACCAACAAGCCCCTAGCTGCCCCTTCTACCCTCTTCCACTTTAGACACTGGGGTACCTGCCTTCGCCCCCTCCTAGAGGACAGTGACTTGGTCATTATCTCCTCCACAACACCCAGCAACCCAGCATAGTTTCAGGTTCAGTAAAATTCACCAGGCTCTGGGGGCAGACAACCCAAGGGACAATTACAGGTTTACTGGGCAAAACAGTTGGCGAGTGACAAAGAATGTGGAGTGTGCCATCAGAAAGACTGGAGTCTGAATTCCAGATACTCCACTTACTAGCTGCTGAGTTTGGGCAAGTCTCGTAAGTTTTGTAAGTCTCAGTAGTTCATCGATGAAGTAGTGACAATAATGCCAATCTCACAGTGTGAGGGCATCTAGCATGGTGCCTGGCTAGCAGTGAGCACACGGGTAACACCAGCCATGAGTCCAGCTATTAGTAGCTGGCTTAACAGATGCTCTATCAGAGGGCTGGAATCAGGAGTCCTAGGGCTTGCTGTGTAACCCCACCTGGATCTGGATCTGTTGTATAAACCTACTGAAAAACAACAGGTAGAAAACGCTTCACAAAGTAAAAGCACAATGGAAGTGATTCCTCCCACTTTTCTAAATTTCAGAGATTCCCAGGCATCCTGGCCAGAGCACGGCCATGGCAGGACTTCACCTTGCAAATACTCCAGCCTGCTCAGTCTGAGAGACAGAGTCAGGGCAAATGATGGTGTGGTTCCGCATCTGCTTCCCCCTGTCCATACAGCCATCCCTTTCCAAAGCCTTAGTTCCTAAACGTCCTGCTTTCATGGGGCCTTCCTTCAAATAACCATGGGGTACTGTCTGCTATGTGGTTACAGGGGGACTGGGAGCTCGGGCACCGCAAGTCACCCCTACCATTAACCTCATCAACACTGAGCAGCATGAGAATGAAAGGCAAAGGCCGATCCAGTGCAGCTGCCAAAACAAGCCTGGGTTGTGGAGCAAGGTAGAAGTCCCTCTTAAGACTTTTATCTGCCTAGATTAATCTCCCAATCCACTGTTAGAACCCAAACCAGTGGTTTTCAAAAGGTTCTCTCTGAGGAGCTGAGCAGAAATGCAAATTCCAGGCCCCACCCAGACTGACTGAATCAGAAAAGTCTGGGAGTGGGGCCCAGCAATCTGTGCCTTAAACAGCTCTCGAGGGGATTCTGATGCCTGCTCAAGTATGAGGAACTTTGTCTTTAGCCTTTAATAGCATGACCCTCTGCCTTAACTCAAACATTTGCTGAACACTGTGCACCAAGGACCGAGCCAGGTGATGCTTTCCAGAAATGAGGACACATTTGAAGAACTTCTGCAGTCTAATGGGGGCCCAAATCAAGTACACAAATACACTAGGCAGAGTGTGGCATAAAAGAAGTTTTATAAAGGAATCACTTTCCACCCCTCTCCCCAGACTCTAACCCTCAGACCTTCTCTTGCCATGACTGGGGAAAAGAGAACATCAGTTCTGGAAACCCACCCCCAATGCTGCTATTTTGGACTCCTCAACCGCGGTTGCTTTCTCAAGAGGAGTGATCCTCACCCAGAGGCATGTCTCAGGTCCAGAGGCTTGACATGTGGGGATATGCTCCCACGAGGCCACACCCAGTGGTTCTTAGGGACTTGGAAATCGGCCCTATCGGGAGTTTGGGCTCAGAAAGCTCCTAGAGGGCCATGAACATGCCACAGCACATCACAACAATGCATTCCTGGGCAGGGTCACTCCCACAGGCCCCTGGCAAGCTTGCACACGAGTGTGCAGATACAGATATAAACCCACAGACAGTTGGCCCCCTGGCCTCCCTTCCTCTAATCTCAAGTTACAAGGTTAAAGGCTTCCTATTCACAGCCAAGGGGGAGGGATCAAAGAGGGGGTGCTGAAGCACTGAGCCATCTGGTTCAGATCAAGATTGCTCATTCAGGACCCCAGCAAACTCCCAGAGCCTCTTGATTCTTCCTGATGGCTCACAGACTTCCCTCCCTCCCCCAAATTCCCACAGGGAAACTGAGGACTGGGCTGGAAAGGGATGACCCAAAGGCAAATTTGCCAAAGGAAGACTAGAAAACAAAAACCTGAATTAGGCAAGTCTGTGCCACCTCTCTGAGCCCTGGTTCCCTCTTCCCTTCAGATCCTGAACAGCACGACTAAACTCGAGATTACCGCCTACAGACACTGTGCCTTCCTCCACAAAGTGCTCAGGGCACCTAGCAGGCATCCTTCCTCGAACCAGCAACCCCTTTCAAAGTTAGCAGCAGAATCAAGATAAGTTTTAGGGGTGTGGTCTCCCAGACTCCTCTTATGCCACCATCTCTACCAAGGAAGGACGTTCCCTCCATTCTCAGAGGGACTTCAGACCTCACCAGGTATAATAAGAGGAAGGAATGACCAACCGGCGTCTAGACAATTGTCCCAAAGCAAGATGGGAGTGTGAGTTACAGGCTAGGAATGACTGTTTCCCAGAGGCCCCAGAGTGCCTTGAAGCCCCCTCGGAGGCTTTGGCTGGAAGAGGCTGCCACTCCTTTTCTGCCACTAGCACTTCTCTTCCTCCTTTCCCCCCAGTACCTTAGACTCTGTTCTTCAGTGCTTTACACAGCTGTAAAGCAAGAGACAAGATGGGAGATGGATGCAGTTAGCAAGAAATAGAAATTGAAAGGCTAACTTGAGCAAAGAAGCAATGGGTGGGTGACTCTTTACAGGCAGAGAGGGCCAGAAGTGGGCTATGGGAAGGAGGAGGCAGTTAACAGAAGTGGGCTATGGGAAGGAGGAGGCAGTTAAAAGAAGTGATAGAAAGCTAAAGGGGAAACTAAAGTGAGCTCTGCCCAGAGCTGCAGCAGGGGGCTTGGGAAGTTTGGTCCAGTTACAGTGGAATGGCTGAAGGAAAAAAATGACTTCCATTCCAAGGCATGGGCTCAGACCAGCCCTCAAAGGACTGGGGCATGGCCTTGGCCAAGTTCCTGGTATGTCATGCCTCAGTTTCTCCAAAGTGGGAAGGAGGTCAAGCTGTTAGGTCTTATCAGAGAGAACTGGGCCATCGGGGGTGGCCACGGGGCAGTGCCAAGTAGGGGAAAGAGGAGAGAGGTGCTGATGGTGCAAAGACAGCCTGTGGGCAAGGGGAGCGGGGCAGGGGTCTCCAGATAGCTCAGAGGCCAAGAGCACGCAGGGGTTGGGGATACGAACTAGCCAGTGGGCAGTAAGTCCAGACTAGGGCAGGGAGCGCTTCCCAAAGCTGAGGCTGGGGGTTGCCACCAAGGAGTGGCACAGTCGCGCCTCAAGGGCTGGGAGCGGCTTGAGGTGCAGAAGCAGAAGGCGGGGATGGAGATTGAGGCCAAGACAGGCGGACCCCCGCCCCCATGAGGGAACCCAGAGCCCCGACCCTGGGAAGTTGCCGGGGTGGACCGGGCCGGTCTGGGCCGCTGGGCCGAGCCAGCCGCCGGCGCGGAAGGGGTTCAGGCAGCAAGGGGCCCGGGGCGCCCCGCATCCCGCCCGCCCTCATCCCGCCCGCGCACCTCAGTCAGCGCCGGGCGCCGCGCGGGCCATGCTCGCCGCTCCTGCCGCCGCCTCCGCCCATGCAGAAAGCTGCCGCCGCTGGCGGCGTCCGGACCCGTTAGCTCCGCGGCTCCCTCGTCCGCCCGCAGCAGGCCAGTCCCGCCCTTGCCGGCTCTGCCCTCCGGGAGCGAGCTACCGCCGCCGCCGCCTCAGCCCGGCCCCTCCCCCCACCCCAGCCCGGCTAGAAGGAAAGGGTGGGGGAAGGGGGCGGCTGCCCCCTCCCCATTCACATCCTCTCCGTCTCTCCCCACCCTCCTCCACCCGCAACCGCGCGGGCATGCTGGGATATGGAGTGCAGCCGGCGCTGGGCCGCTAGAGGTGCCCCACACCCAGGACTACAACTCCCGAAAGACAGAGCGCGCGCCCTAGGGATTATGGGCTTTGTAGTTCATCCGGGGCCAGGGGGGTCTACCGCGCAGGGGGTGGGGTCGGGGAGGGGGGGCGGATGGGAAATCTCCATTCCCAGAAGGCTGGGCTCCCGGCGTTTGAAACAGAGGATGTGGGGGTCTGCGGTGCCCCGGGCTCGGGTTGAATACCTGGATCCCCAAGGAGGTGCAAACTAGCCCAGGATGCCTCTCAGACGCGGCTGTGGCCAGCTGCGGCCGATCCCGGCTGAAGGGGAAGCCTCCGGGCCCCTAAACAGCGCCTCGAGTACAGTTCCCACTCGCGCTCCCAAAGAGCCATGACCTGAGACCAGCTTGGCCTCGTGCCCGGGCTCTGCAAGCGGGAGGAGCTGTGGTGGGGCCTTTGCGCTCAGGCGAGAGGAGAAGGGGCTCCAGGAGCTGCGTGGGCGTGGGGTTTTCCCCACCCGGGAAAAGGAAAACGAGTGACTGTGGGTTTCCCGCAGCACCTCGTTCCAGTCGCACTCTCTTTTGTCAGATGCTCTTAGCTCCCTCCCTACAGTTTAGGGTAAGGCGCACACGTTTAAAATAATTTTTTTCCATGTCTTCTCTTATCAGAGACCTTCCCCAACTTCCAAACCTAACTCAAACCCTTCGAGAAGCTCCAGGTCGACCGCACTTTCGCCCTCCAAGCTTCATCTCCCCTGGCAGCGCGGAAGCCTGTAGGTCAGTTGTTCTCAAACTTTGGCGTGTATCAGATTCTGGAGAGCTTGCTCAAATAAAGCTGGCTCCCCACTCGCAGTTTCTGTTTCACTAACTCTAGAGTGTGCCTGGGAATTTGCATTCCTAACAGCATCCCAGGTGAGGCTGCTGGGTGCTGGTCTGGGGAACCACTTTGAGACCTGCTACTGTTGCTGTTTGTTTGCTAGAGTTCTGGCTTTGTCCTTCAAGGATAGGCCTGCTGTGGAATATTAGCTTCTGAAAAGCCTGGCCTTGTAAGGCAGGGTCCTAGCGTAGTTTAGCACAGGAGTGCTCTTTTTAATTGTAATGAATAAACAAATCAGTTCATCCTGTAAAGAAAACTACGGTGTGGGCCATCTGACTGAAAGGTGTTCCAGATCTTAGCCCTTGGTGTTTTCTCTAAAGCTGGGAAGGTTTTCTGGTGCTAACTGCCCCCCCCCCCAGGCTTCCCCCCGCCATGGATGTAAGCCAAGGGGTGTATTCTCAAACCGGGAGTCCAGTGGGCTCAGTAGAACCCACTGCCTCTGGGTGGGCTATGTCCTAAAACAGGCTGGGGAGGTACCTGACTTCGGCTTAGGTTATGATCTCAGGGTCCTGGGATTGAGCCCGACGTTGGACTCCCTCCTGGATGGGGAGTCAGCTTGTTCCTCTCCCCCCTGGTCATTTTCTGTCTCACAAATAAATAAACTCTTTTAAAAAATAAATAAATAAAAATAAAACAGGCTGGGGTAGTGAGAGGTGGGAAGGTGGCTTCCTGCCCTCTCAGGTGGACTCTCCTTACCACCTGCTGTCCTGCTGTTCTAGGAGCTACAAGCCCCTGAAGACAAGACTTGGTGACCGTCACCCTCAGGCACAATCCTAGACTCTTCCAGCTGTAAGGTGACAAAGATTCACTGCTTGACCAAACTTAAGCCAGGCTCCTCTAAGCTCTCCTCTCCAATAGGCCTCAACCTTGGCCTATAAAAACTACACTCCTCAACACAAATGATTTCATTCATCCTCCTTCCTGCACAGTAAAGACTTAAACACAATAACATAGTTTCTAACAGCTCAAAGGCCACATCCCTAGGATGACCCTAGCTCTTCTGAAGTGTCGGCCCGATAAAGTTCAAGGCTGCCAAAAAGATTTATTGTTTTAGCCAACACCTGAAGATAGGTGATTACTCCAACTTACCCACTTACTACAAAGGGCTTGCAACTGCGACTCCTTCCTCTGTCCCTTTGAGATGTATATGTATCTCCTGCAGCTCAGGTGTGCCTTTCCCAAGGACCTGAAAGCCATTCCTTTGAAATGTAATCATCAGAAAGGATAAGGCCTCTGTCTCCCAGTTTCTCTGGGAGGATAGAATCCAAACTTCGATAATTGCCAGCTAACAGACACAGCTGGCCTAAGCATTTACACCGACCAATCCTTTGTCATTTTTCACTTCCCTGACTACCGCGTCCCTCTCACCTGCCTTCATACTCCCTCATTCTCTCTTTAAAATGCCCAGTCACCTCTACAAATTGAAATTGAATTCAGTTCACATTGGACCCTCTTCCTTATTGCAGTAGTATATTCCTGGTTAAAATCTGGCATTACCACTTTAGTGTCTAGCTTTGTTTATCTTTGACAAAGGTGGTGGGTACACTGAGTCCTCAGGGCCCATATTCTAGTCTTCCACCCATCCACTGAGGGCCAAAAGGGTGTTATTCCTAGGTCCTTGGGCAAGTAGCCAAGTGGCCACCAGAGGCATTGGACCTTGACTAAGGTTACCTCTGGAATGCTTTTCTGTTTTTTTTGTCCCCATCACAGGCCAGTGGAGGCTAAGTAATCCACATGCAACCCCATGCTCTGCCCATAAAACCAGCTGCCAGGCCCTTCCTACAAGGGCTTAGCCTCTGCACCTGAGTCATGTGCAATGACAACATTCCCTCACATGCAGAAGGTACATGGAATTCTTTGAGTTTACATCGATCTCCCAAATCTCTGTTGGCAGATGATGCAGGGAGAACTGAGATGTCCTTTCATGGGCAGGACAAAGAGACCCTCTCTCTACCTCAGCTCCAACAGAAACCCTCATCATCACCCTTACCACCTTCCAATTAGATGTCAGATTGGTTCACCCATTTCCCCTTGCCGGTTCTGCCCTCCCATCCCCTCCATCAATCCAAATTCTGCCTGACTGTCCGAAGTCTACCTTCAGTTTTCCTTCCTCCAGAAGGTTCTCCCCAACTGCCTCAGTGTAGCATTTGGATTTGAATCATTCATTGAAAAGCCTAGCTTTGCTGGTGAACTGTCCAGTGCAAGAGAGGAAGTGGAACAGGAATTTGGGAGTTGGAAGATGGCAGATGAGAGCACAGGGCTTTGGAGGCAGACAGCTACTAAGCAGCAAGGGGCAAAGAGGAGAGGGACGGGCTCCCTTGCACCTTGGGTTTCTGTCCGGGGGACAGAGGCTTAAATGGCAGCTCCCACAGCTAGTCCTGTGTGTGATCCAGAGCAAGTTACACAGATCTTTCATCTGTAAAATGGGAATAATAATAATAAAAGAGCTCATTTTTTAGAGTTGTTGTAAAGATTGAAAAAATACTATGAGATAGGAAGACTATCAAAAATAAATCAAGTTAATCTATAAATTTAATGTGATTCCAGTACAAATGCCAGCATGGTTTTTTGTTGTTGTTGTTCATTTTTTTGTTCATTTTTTGGAGATGGGAGAGAGAAGTAGATAAATTGATTTTTAAAAATTATTTGGAAAAATAACAAGCAAGACAAGTCAGGAAATTTTTTAAAAAAACTAACAGTAGTGAATGGTGTTGGCCCTCTCAGATATTAAACAATTATAAAGTCTGCTCTTAAAAGGGTATGATAGATCAATGACACAGACCTGCCAGTCTAGAAGTAAACTCAAATATTCATAGAAATAAGCTTAGATACTAAAGGAAAATTGGCATATAGCAAAGATACATTCTCAAATAAGTGGGAGAAAAGGCGAATTACTCTATAATGATGCAGGGACAATTGGAGAACCAATTGCTAAAAAATTTAGCCAACACTGAATAAATTAATGGATCGAGCTAAAAATCACCAATGGCTCTCAGTGTCATGAAAAACAAAGACAACCATCTTCATTTGAAGACAATGGAAGTATGATACTCTGAAAGTAGTGTTGAAGAGAGAAATCACCCCAAAGCTGACAACACCAATGTACAGAATATGCTGGTATCAGAGGACCAGGTTATTTGAAACCATGGAAGATACAATCAACAAATGGCCCAGTTTCTTCAATGAATACCTTGAAAATTAAAAAAAAAAAAAAGAGAGAATCTGTAAATTTTAAAAGCCCTGTCAGCCCATTACAATGTATGGACTTTATTCATAAAACTGAAAAAAAAAAAGTTGTTTTAGAATAGGGGAAATTTGGGGGTGCCTGGGTGGCTCAGTTGCTTAAGCAACTGTCTTCGGCTCAGGTCATGATTCCAGGGTCCTGGGATCGAGCCCCGCATCGGGCTCCCTGCTCGGCGGGAAGCCTGCTTCTCCTTCTTCCATACCCCCTGCTTGTGTTCCCTCTCTCGCTGTCTCTCTCTCTCTCTGTCAATTAAATAAATAAATAAAATCTTTAAAAAAAAAAAAGAATAGGGGAAATTTGAACACTGACCATTGGGTATTAAGTAATTGTTATTAATTTTAAGTGTTCTGATGGTGTCATGGTTAGTTTTTTGTTTAAGAGACCTCATTTAAAAATATATCCTGAAATCGTATTTATGGAATGATAAGATGTCTGGGGTTTGTTTCAAAATAATCCAGGGTTGGGTGGAGGTATAGATACAATAAGGTTGACTGGATTGATCATTGTTGGAGTGGGGGGGATGATGGTTACTTGGGGTTCATTATAACATTGTTTTCCACTTTTGCAGTGTTTGGAGTTTTCCATAATAAAATGGTTTAAACATATTTCAGTCAGATCTCTACCTCATAGCTAGCTAAAAACCACCACCACCACCATCAAAAACCAAGTTAATAAAAAATGGGAGACATTTTTGCAATTTATATTAAAAGGTGAAGAGCTAATATAAAGTGCTTTTGTAAATCAGTAAGAAGACCAAGAAACCAATAAGAAATGTGAAAATTATACAAACAGTTCACAAAAAAGGAAACACAATGGCTCTGATATGAAAAGATGCAGAGCTTCCGTTTTTTAAAAATTGTGGTAAAATACACATAACATGAACTTTACCACCTTAACCATTTTTAAATGTACAGTTCAGTGGCTTTAAATACATTTACAGTGTTGTGCAACCATCACCACCATCCATCCACAGAGCTCTTTTCATCTTGCAAAACTGAGAAGATCTGTACCCATTAAACAATGACTCCTCACATTTTCCCCTCCCCCCCAGTTCCTGACAACCACCATTCTACTTTCTATCTCTATAAATTTGACTATGAAGTCATATCAACATGAGGACACTATTTGTCCTTTTGTGTCTGGCTTGTTTCACTTGGCATACTGTCCTCAATGTTCATTCACATTGTAGCATATGTCAGGACTTCCTTCCTTTTTCAGGCAGAATAATATTCTATTGTAGGTATATTCCACATTTTATCCATTTATTTGTGAGTTGACACTTGGGTTGCTTCCATCTTTTGGCTATTGCAAACAAAGCCCCTCTGAGCATCACTCTTAATAAAATAAATGCAAATTAAAACCACACTGAAATATCATTTTCACCTATTAGATTGGCAAAAACCAAAAAGCTTGATAACTATATTGGCAAGAGTGTGGGGAACAGGATTCATATACGCTGTCAGTGTGGCTGGAAATTGGTACAGCCTGTAAGAAGAGTAACTTGGTAATACCTTCAAATTACACATGCACACACCATTTGACCTAGCGATTTGTAAGAAAGTATCCTATTTACACATTTTCTTAGTTACATACAGATATGGCTATTTGTTACAACATTGTAAGAGCAAAGATTAAAAGTGATCTGTATGGGGGCGCCTGGGTGGCTCCGTCGTTAAGCGTCTGCCTTCTGCTCAGGTCATGATCCCAGGGTCCTGGGATCGAGCCCCGCATCAGGCTCCCTGCTCTGCAGGAAGCCTGCTTCTCCTTCTCCCACTCCCCCTGCTTGTGTTCCCTCTCTGGCTGTCTTTCTCTCTGTCAAATAAATAAAATCTTAAAAAAAAAAAAAGTGATCTGTATGTTGTGGCACCTGGGTGGCTCAGTCCCTTAAGCAACCGACTCTTGGTTTCAGCTCAGGTCATGATCTCGGGGCCGTGAGATGGAGCCCCAAGTCTGGCTCCATCCTCAGTGGGAAGTTTGTTTGAGAGTCTCTCTCCCTCTCCCTCTGCCCGCCCCCCACACTTTCTCACAAACAAACAAATGTTGATATAAATAAATGTTGATGATCTAAATTAAATATTAAATGAATAGATTGAAGACATTTCAACTGATGGTGTCTTTTATTATCATTACCTCAGTGGATAAGAAACTGTTAGAGAGCAGGGGACTGGCTTTTGTAGGTCCAAACAGACCTTCAAGAAATATTGATTAAATTAATGAAATTATTTCTTAGTCTCTGGCAGAACTGAAGTGGCAGGCAGCTCAAGGAGGTTATGTGGCTCATCCAAGGTCATTCATATATAATATGTACTACCTATTGTTTATGTGTAAAACACAGTGGAGGACACTCTGAAATTGAAAAATTGGACCCTACCTTCTAAGAGATTGAGATCTAGCAAAGCACTCTGGCACACATCATTAAAAATATCAAGTTTTTTTTTTTTTTAAGACTTTATTTTAATCTCCACAACCGACGTGGGGCTCAAACTCACACCCCAAGACCAAGAGTCACACAATCTACTAAGTGAACCAGCCAGGCACTACCAAAATATCAAGGTTGTTGTTTTTTGGGTTTTTTTATGGTCCTTTCAGTTATATCAATGGAGACCATTGTTCTAGTGGGTAAATTGAGGCACAGATCAGAGAAGCAGTTTCTCAAAAGCCATACAAAACAGCAAAAGAAAGATGCTGACTAAAATAGAAGTCATCCTTCCATTTGTGCCCCATCCTTAGTGCCCTGGGGGACTCATTTCAAGGGAACCATTTCCTACCAATGTTGATGCACTGGATCAGCCTTCTCAAAGGTGTGCAGGTCCTGTGAGATGCTCCTCTACAAAAAGATTCCCTAACCTGTGTGTGAAATGCTTTATACGTTAGTGTAAAGTTCTCCATGCATATAGGTATTTTTTCCCTACCTTTGTCCACCAAGAAGGCCTGAGAGTGGTGACACCCCATTAGCAACTGAGCTTGTTGTTATTTTTTAAATTGAGGTGAAAATCACAGAACATAAAATTAACCATTTTGGTATTTTGATTTTAATATTTTTTGGAGGGGGCACCCAGAAATTAACCACTTTATAGCATACAATTCAGTGTATTTAGTACATTCCCAATACTTTGTAACCAATACTTCTATCTGGTTCCAAAACATTTTCTTTATCCCAAAAGAAAATCCTGTATCCATCAAGCAACGATGCCTCACGCTCCCTCCCCCTAGCCCCTGGAAACCACTGTGTTCTGTCTCTATGGATTCACTATTCTAAATATTTCATATAAATGGAATCATAGAAAATATGGTCATTCATGTCTGACTTCTTTCACTTAGCATAATGTTTTCAAGGCTCACCCATGTTATTGCATGTGTCCGTATTTCATTCTTTTATGACTGAATACCACTCCATTGCATAGAAATACTATACTTTGTTTATTCAGTATATTGGTTTCTTAAATTTGTGAGAAGAAAATAAGCCTGTCTACCTTTGTTTAATGGTTCTATAGCCCGTCTGCAGCAACACTTGTTAACATCTTACAGAAGCGCTCTTTGGAAAATAGTGCACAAGATATTTGTGAATGGCAATGGTCAGGCTTTGGGGAAGAGGGTCCACTTAATGATGAAGTACGCTTAAAATCTCTCCAGAAAAGGTTCGTTGTTTATTCTATCAAGTCTGTGTTTTAATTTTTATTTATTTTTTTCCTTTTATTATTATTTTTTTTAAGTAGGTTCCACACCCTGCATGGAGCCTGATGCAGGGCTTGAACTCAAGACCGTGAGATGGAGAGCTGAGCTGAGATCAAGAGTTGGACGTTTTAAAAATTAAAACACTCGGGGTGCCTGGGTGGCTCAGTTGGTTAAGCGTTGGACTCTTGATTTTGGCTCAGGTCATGATCTCAGGGTTGTGAGATTGAGCCCCTCTGCTGGGCTCACGCTGAGTGGGGAGTCTGCTTGAGATTCTCTCTCTCCCTCTGCCCCTCCCCCTGCTTGTGTGCGTACTCTCTCAAATAAATAAATAAATCTTTAAAAAATAACTTTTATTTATATATTTGAGAAAGAGAGAGAGAGTGCACGATCAGGGAGGAGGGGCAGAGGGAGAGGGAGAAGCAGACTCCCCACTGAGCAGGAAGGCCAACGTGGGGCTCAATCCCAGGACCCAGAGATCATGACCTGAGCTGAAGGCAGACATTTAACCAACTGACCCACCCAGGCGCCCCCCCCAAAATCATTTTTAACAACCATAACAGCTTTTTTGTTTTCTCCTTGGAAGACCCAGCAGAAGAGTTTAATATCTTCTCTCCATTTTCCTCAACCAGTTAGTTCCCATGTCTCCTCTACTGTTTCTGTAGTAAATGCTGTGGGTTATACGCTTTTACAGCAATGATGCACCCATTCCCCACTTTTGTGTTGGCAGCTAATGACTCACAGTTTCACCCTTCTCCGGAGAATTGTCCTCAGTCCACATGAGCTGTTTCATCCAGACATACCTGGGAAATTATGCTCCTCCTTTCCCCACCTCCCAGTGGCCCACAGCCTGTGAATGAATGATGTGGGGTACAAAGCCCAGCTCCCTTGCTTCTGAGAGAGATAAACCTTGTGTTGCATTTTATGCCTCGGAGCTCACTGTAGGATCAGACCGAGTCTGGACATCTTTGCTTGGTTTCTTCCCCTGCCCTATCCTGCTTCTCTCACTGCCCTAATAAATCATTTGCACAAGAATCCCTGTCTCAGGGGCGCCTGGGTGGCTCAGTCGTTAAGCGTCTGCCTTCGGCTCAGGTCATGATCCCGGGGTCCTGCGATGGAGGCCGCATTGGGCTCCCTGCTCCGCGGGAAGCCTGCTTCTCCCTCTCCCACTCCCCCGGCTTGTGTTCCCTCTCTCGCTATCTCTCTCTCTGTCAAATAAATAAATTAAAAAAATCTTAAAAAAAAAAAAAAAGAATCCCTGTCTCAGGCTCTGCATCTAGGGACCCCAACTAAGCTATCCCTGTGGGTAGTCCTGGCTCCCAGAGCTATTGCCTGCTACCAGCAGCAGGCATAAATTTCATCTTGGGCCTTCCAGATTGCACCTCCTCCAAGAAGCCGGACCTGGGCCCTCACACTCCGGCAGCATTCAAGGAAATTCGGTGCCTAATCTGGCCAGGCACTGTTCTAACCCTTTTGTGTGCATTAGCACATAATCCTCCCAACAAACTGATTAGGCAAATACTCTTGTATTCTTACAGATGAAGAAAATGAGGCTCAGAGAGATTGAATGTCTTGCTCACACAGTAAGAAAGTAATGGAAATTAAGGAGCATTTGTCTGATTTCACACCCTTGTATTTAACCACCATACTCTATCCTAGATTATAGCATCAGAACTTTTATTTTGATGGGTCTATCTACCCCAGACAGTGGGACTATATACAGAGCAGAGAGCTACATGTTGTTATGTGTATTGCTGACAGATTGTGCTGAGGGCTTCACCTTATTAAAAATGTTCTTTTTAACAGGATCTCGGCAGGACTGAGCTGGGCCAGTGGCCTCCAGGTTCCCGATAGGGAAGAGTGTCGGGAGAACTCTGCCAGCGCTCCTGGGCGTCCACTGGCTGGAGGGGGCATTTGCAGGTATCTTTGCTACTCAGACCAAGGAATTCTAGAGTGACTATAGAGCTCCCCACCTCGGTATGCCTATCCTAGGAAGTGGGGTGAACCCCTTTGCCTCTGAGCTCCACGGTTTTCCTTGAGCCTCTGCCAGAGCTGCATTTATAGGCATCCCTGCCTTCCACTCTACTGCAGAGCGGGGAGCTGCACTGCTGAGAACAGCAGCAGGGGGAGACAGCTCATCACTTCCCTGGAGGCTTCTTGGGTTCATAGAGGAAAGAGCAGGCACTGAAGTGGGAGGGTCAGACCTGGGCCAAGTGAAGAGGGGTAATGACTCCAGGGGGAGAAAACCAAGGGAAGGAGAGAGATTGGGGGGAGGAGGTGGGGTAGTTGGGGGCTGACTAGGGAATTGTTGGTTATTCATTCATTTGACAACTTGTTTTAAGCACCTACAATGTCCTAGGCACTGTTTTGGGAACTGAGGAATCATGGACAAACCAAAGACCCTGCTTTAATGAGGCAACAGGAGGAGGACAACAATAAAAATAATCCTATTAATGGTTAATACTTTTTGAGCATTTACCATGGAGTCAAGAAGTTATCTTATCCTCACAACAATCTCAAGCTATGATACTATTATTAACCTGTTTTACAGGCAGTGACAAGGAGATAGAGAGCAACCAAGTGACTGGCTAATGTTACACGGAGTTTGAGCAGGGTCCCTCATCTTCTTTGAGATTGATGCCAAGGCCTCTCAGGCTCCCTACTGACCACAGTAGATTCAGAAAATACATATTTGTAAGAAAAATTCAAACAATAGCGATGAAACTCAAGTTCTCCTTGCCCATCCCCATCCCTAGCAGTCTCCATACTTTTACAATACTACGTGTCCATATACATTATTTTTGACATGAGTGGCTTCCTGTATATACGGTTCTACAACTTTTTTCCCCTTAACAAAATATCTTGAGCACTGTTCCCTATTGTACGCACAGTTTTACTTCCTTGTTTCTAACTGCTGCATAGTATTCCATGGCATGGATGTACTCTAGAGAAAAGGTGTTTCCAATTTTTCGCTATTACAAACAGTGCTGCCATTCACAACTTTTCCAAAAGCTCCGCAGATCCTCTTCCTACTGCAAAGTTGGAAAGTTTCTTCCGGAAGGACCCATGTAATGAAACCCGCGAAAGCACTAGCCAACTGTCAATCCAACAGTAGCCGCTTAGGCTCGGGCAACAGCTGTTGTTATCTAACCCCCCCGACCCCCCAATGGATTTTATTTTCTTCCGAGAAAAGCAGCTGCCCCAGGTCCAGGCTAGGGAGCTAAACAGAACCCCAAACGAGAAACCTCGAGTCCCAGAAAACGAGCTTGCGTCTCTAAGACGCATTCGTTCCTCTGGGAGTTGTAGTTTTGCTGGGCAACGGAGCCCCCTTCTATTCTCACTTCCTTTCTCCATCTGAACTCACATGCCCTTTAGGAAAGCGCTGCCCTCACCAGATCTGCGTACCCGTGCAATAAAGAGCTCGGAGTTAGTTTTTTGGGGAGGACAAGCCAGGACGGACGGAGGGGTGAAACTACATTTCCCAGGGTGCGCCGCGAAGGGGCAAGCAGTCCCGCGTTAAAAAGCCGGCGGCGCCGAAAGCCCAGCTGAGGCAGGTACGTCGGTCCGTGCGGGTCCCTGCTTCGCGCACCTTAGTCCCTCCCACTGTTTTTCGGCCCACGCTCTCGGACCCGCAGGACCGAGCTGGGCTAGTGGCCTCCTCCCGGTTCCCGATAGAGAAGAGTGTTCGAGAACTCTGCCGGCGCCCCTGGGCGTCCATTGGTTGTAGGGGGCGTTTGCAGGTCCTGCTACCCTTTGGTCTGGGTCTTTTCAGTGGGAGCTCCGGGATCTGGCCGGTGCCGGGCACTTGGGGATGCCTGGGACCCGCGGGGCGGGGGGGATTGGGGGTGGATATGGGCCCCAGAGGCCCCTCAGCCCTGAGGCAGGTGGGGCTCTGGATGCCAGCACTGCTGACTTTGCTTTGAGGCCCTGTCTCCTGCCTTAGTTTACCCCATCTGGGCTCATCATTATGCACAAATCTCGATTACAGGGCGTTTGTATAATTTACAAAGTGATTTTATTGCCAGTCAACTTCTGTCTGCCTTTTTATTATCCAGAAGGCAAATCAGATCCCTTCGGGAGCCTGGTTTTGTTTTTTTTTTTGTACCTTTAAAGTTCTAAAATGCAAAATCCCTGCCCCCGTGGCTCTTCAAAAAGCATATATGAAGAGGTTTTATTATTTTATTCTGTCCCTGGCTCCCCTTCCCTATCCAATTTTGGGATGGGGAAAATTGGCCGAGGACATTAAACGTGGCCTCAGTAGATGCAGTGTTATTGAAAGTGGGCAGAATATTGGAATAGAGCTCTGTATTTTCTAAGTTTTCTGTAAATGTCAGGTATGACAGGGCATAGACTGCAGGAGAGATGTCTTGTTCCGACAGGGTGATGAAGAACATGAACTTCGGTGTTGGACACACCTGGCCTGCCTGTACCATCTGTGTACGACTTTGCGCAGACTCTTTCATCTCTTTCAGCTAGTTTCCTTATCTATATCATGTGTGTGATAAGATCCAATTCATAGGACTATTGAGTGAGTCATGTGAGCTGATTCTGCACTGCCATTGGTGTTGGGCCTGAAGAAAGCACTCCCTGAGCTTTAACCACCAGTATCATTCCACCTTTTGTGTTATCATAAAATACCCTTTTGGCTGATCTGGCAAGTCATACTCCTTCGCCTGGCTTGATTTCCCTAGACCTTCCCTGATTTTTTCATCTTTGGGGGCATCTTTGACCTGGAGAATATTTCAGAGCCTTTACTCCCACTGGCTTCAGGGTCAAGTTAAACTCTCCTGTTCCCTTTCCCTGTTGGAGAGAACTACCACTCATTGAGCCCCCGCTGAATGCCACATCGTTTCCATTTTATTTCATACTGGCAACAGTCCTGAGAGGTTGGTATCTTTGGCTTGCAGAGGTTAGGTAGCCTGTTCAAAATCACACATAAGGAGGCAGAGATGGGAACAGAGCCCTGAGGGCTGATTCTCAGCCTGGGACTGCTCTTCTGCCCTAAGTCTCTAGTAGGGTGCAGTCCAGATAGGCCTGCCCTCCTCCCTCTGGTCATGATCGGTCACCTGTCCATGTCTCCCAGTCACTATGCTGAGACCAAGACTGGGCTCAGATTTCCTGGGTCATTGGACCCTCCTTGGGACATTTCTTCCTTGCTCCCTTTCAGCACCTTTGCTTGGGATCAAATATCATTACCACCATCACCTGAATAAGAATTGGAGTGACCCAGCTCCCAGTCATGGCTGCAGCATCCATTAGCTTCTTTAAAGTGGAAATAATAATACTTAACCCTGCAGGGATGTTGTGAGGACGAAAAATCATAATGTCTTAATGGTGGGCCAGAGTGGTGAGCTCAGTCCCAGCGGCTGTTATCATTAACATCCTCATTTCATTATCACCTTGTATTTGTTAAGGCTTTATCATAATGGCTAATATACACTGAGCACTTTCCATATATTTACTCCTTTTGTTCTTTCCTTGTTCCCACAAAGTAGGCTCAGTGTAGTGGTTAAGAGAATGGACTCTGGAGAAAAGTGTCTGGTTCAAATTTGGTGGTGCTTCTTGCTCACTGTGTGACCTTGGGCAAGTTACTTAATCTCTCTGTGCCTCAGTTTCTTAATCTTTGAGGATAAAGATAGTACTTCCCTGACATGAAGTTAAAGGTTCTTACAGTGATTTTTTTTTTTTTTTTTTTCCTTTGAAGGTGCCAAGAGAGGGATGATATTATACTCCCCATTTTGGTTCAGGTCCTTGGAGAAGCAGAGACCAAGATGGGACTAAACTTGCAAGAGATTTATTGGGGAAGGGGGAAAAAGGGGAAGGAGCAAGCAGAGACAGGGAGAGCTATCAGGCTGCTGCCTATGAAGGAGCACCAGAAGGAAAGGGAGGGAGGGAGGAAGGGAGGGAGGGAGGGAGGGAGGGTAGGAAGGATGTTTGACTGCCTTGCAGTTCTGAGACAAATTTCTCTTGGGTTGATGGGAATTCCAGGAGCCAAGGTTGCCTGTCAGAGGATCCCCATCTTGCAGGAATGGGTCTGTGTTCATGTCCCTGCTGCACATGGAGTCATTGATTGGTTGGGAACAGTTGGGAAGCGTGGCCTCCATGTGAATAAGCTGGGGGCATTTGTCAGTTATAGTCTCTGCCACAGGAGGCCTGAGAGTGTTAGGGTGCTGGAGATCACAGTGAGTTTGTGGCCAAGCTGGAATCCCATGAGGCTCCTTTACTGGAAAGTCCAGATGGACATCCTGGGGAATACCTTTTTCCTCAGGTGGCTGGCCAAGATCTCTAGCTCAGATTTCCCCTCTGGATTTCCCTCCTGGGCTTAGCAGGGAACAGAGCAATTTCTGTTAGTGGTGGAGGCTCTCCCTGAAAGCTGGTGAGAGTGTCGGTGTTGCTAGGTGGTGGTGACTGTCAGCCCTAACCATAGGCTTGATGGCATCAGAGTCTGGTGTGAGAGATGCTGTTGCTGTTGGCTCTTAGTTGGAGTGTGGGCTAACTACTGGACACACACTCTGGGCACCCCATCATCCCTCCCCATGCTGAGCTTTGGAAGTCAGAGGGAAGAAGAGGTGGGGGTGTGCTGCTTTGTAGGACAGCAGCCGGACCCCGGCCAGAGGTGGATGCCAGGGTACTTTTGAGGACTTGTCTACAGATGGTCTTGGGGGCTCTGGAGTCAGATTGATTTCCCATCTGGTAGGAGGTGAATGTTGAGGGGGATAGGAGAGGGCAAAGCCATAGCTTTGGCCCACTTTCCCCTCACTTGCTCAGAGTGCCCTAGAGGAAGATGGCTGTCAGGTGGGTTGCAGCCCCCTTCTGGCTTGGAGCTTCTGGGAGGGGAGATCCCCTCTGAGGTCCCTGTAGTGGGCACTGTTGGCACCCTGCCTTATCCTTTTGAACAGGTGGTGCACCCCTCCCACAGCTGCTCCCTTCTCCAGGGAATTGCCCTTGGCTTCAGGATTAGAACCTCCCTCCCTCCCACCCCCCTAGCTCACAGCCAGTAACTGAATGAGGAGGGGCAGCCCTTTGCTTTAAGGTGGGACCCGCTGTCAACCCCACCTTGCTCCCCTCACTTCCTCTCCTGAGGAAATCACATGCATCCAGATTGAGAAAGTCAAAGATACACTTACATATAACCTAATGATCCCATACCTGGGTATACACTGGCAGAGATGAAGTCTTATGTTCACACTAAGCCTGCACGCAAATGTTTGTAGCAGGTCTAGTCATGATTCCCCAAACCTGGAAACTGCCCAGATGTCTTTCGATGGGTGGATGGAGAAACAGACCATGGATGCCAGTCCGTGCAATGGGATACTGCTTGGCGAATAGAGAGAACTACTGATATGCACAACTTGGATGAGTCTCAAAGGCATTATGTTGAGTGAAAGAAGCCAATCTCAAAAGATTGCAGCCCACCTATAGCTACGGAGAACAGTGTGGTTGTCAGGGGTGAGGGATGGATGGTGAGGGATGGTGTGCCCAAAGGGATAGCATGCTGGAGTTGTTTTGGGCACGGAAAGTGGTGGTAGACACAAGAATCTCTACATGTGCGTTTTGGGTTTTTTTGTTTTTGGTTTTTTGGTTGTTTTTGTTTTTTTGTTTTTGTCTTTTGAGTTTTTTTTAGAGAGGGAGGAGGAGGGGCAGAGGGAGAAGGAGAGAGAGAATCTTAAGCAGGGGCTCCATCTCACGACCCAGAGATCATGACCTGAGACGAAATCAAGAGTTGGACACTTAACTGACCAAGCCACCCAGGTGCCCCTATACATGTGTTAAAATTAATAGAACTGTGTACCAGAAGGAATCAATTTTAGGGTAAGATAATTTTTTTCAAAAGTTCACGCACACCTTTATCTCTGCCTCAGGGAGCCCCTCAACTTTGGCCAGAATGGAGCAGCCCAAGGGGGTCGACTGGACAGTCATCATCCTGACATGCCAGTACAAGGATAGTGTCCCCGTCTTCCAGAGAGGTAGGGAACCCTCCCTTCCCACTTTGCCTCTGACGTAGTTTCCCTATCATAACCTTACAGCCCCACGAGCCAGGAAGACCTGGGTTCAAGCCCAGATTCTGCTTCTTTCTGGCCTTGTGACCCCAAGACACCTCATGTCATTTAATTGAGACTCAGTTTTTTTCATTTGTTAAATGAGACTGGTTGTACTTACCTCATAGAGTTGGGTGAAGATCTAACGAGCGATTCCATGAAAAGCTACTAAGTGTTTGCTTTGGCAGCTCAAATGCTGAAACTGGAACCACACAGAGAAGGTTAGCATGGCTTCTCTGCAGGGATGGCATGCAAATTTGTGAAGCATTCCGTTTTTTTTTTTGGGGGGTTTTTTTTTACAAATATTGAATCATGACATTGTACAGCTGAAACAAATAGAATGTATAGGTAATTATACCTCAATGAAAAAGAAGCTCCTGAGTCAAAGAAGGGAAAATAGGGACTCTCAGTAGATTTGCTCTAGATGCTTTGGACCAGGGTGGGGAGGCTGGGCGCCGGTCCCAGCTTGTGTTCTGACCCCAGAGCTGGAGGTGCGCCAGAAGCGGGAGCAGATCCCGCCCGGGACGCTGTTACTGGCTGTGGAGGACCCTGAGACGCGTGTGGGCAGCGGGGGAGCCACCCTCAATGCCCTGCTGGTGGCTGCCGAACACCTGAGTGCCCGGGCAGGCTTCACGGTGAGTGCTCCCGGAGCGCCCTCCTCCAGCACACGTCCTGGTCAGAACAGCGATGGGGGCTTCCAGCAGATTGTCTCCAAGTCACCAGCTCTTTTGGGGTTCCGTCGCCTGGCCAGTGCAGCATCTGGTATTAATTTCTGTACCTGTAGATTGGGCAGACTCATCAGGGTGGCGAGGTGGGGGTGGGGTAGGCGGGGCAGAAGTCAGGGCCAGACTTTCTAGTGGTTTTAGAACGTCAGAGCCAGGATCTCCAAAATAGGCTTTCTGGCTTCTCTTGAAAACTTCCATCTTGCTCTCCTGGCCTCTCCCTCCCCCATGGCAACTGTTTGCTGGAACTGGGATAGAGCTGCCCGCTTGGTGCATCGCACAGGGGTCAGTGTTCCCACTGGGGCCACACGCCCCCCCCAGCCTCTTCACTCGGTCACCTTGCCCTCATGGCTCCCTGGCATAGGGAGTGAGGGTGGTCGCAGGGACGGAGGTGGCACTGGAAGGGGAGGCCACCACTGTGTAGTTTCTGTGGGGCTGACTTACCGTGAAGTCACCCAGCTAGCCCCACATTCTTGCCTATAGCTTCCCCTAAAAAATAGGGGCGGAGGGGTGGTCAAGGTGGAGGGCCACTAGGCTCCCTTATCCAGGAGGGGCCAGGGCCGCCCCTTGCCTGCCTGTGGCCATTGGTCCTGACTGTGTCTTTTCTTCCTTTGGTACCTGAGTGGATTTGTGTTGGGGTCTCTCCCTGGACAAGAGAAGAACACCCTTGGGTGCCATCCGCCCAGGCTTCTGTCCACAGGGCTCTTCCACATTTGACAGGTGGTGACATCTGATGTCCTGCACTCGGCCCAGATCCTCATCCTGCACATGGTTAGTAAAGGGCCGTGCTGAAGGCTGGAACCATCAATCCTTGGGGTTAGATAGGTGTTCTATCTTTGTGTTTGTGCAAGATGCTTATTGTGCACATCCAGGAGAATCAGAATCAGAATTGATCCAAGTGTCCAGAAGTAGGAAACAGGCTGAATATAAGCAGCAAAACGTTAGACAGTGATTTAAAAGTCTAGCTAACTCTATGCATTGGCCTGGAAAGAGACTTAACAGCTCTGTGACCTTGGGCAAGTCACTTGACCCTTTCTTTCCAGGCCTTAGTTTCCTCATCTGTAAAATGAGGATGGCAACAGTTTCTACTTCATGTGGTAGTGTTGAGATGATCCACGTAAATACCAAACCGGGGCCTGGCCTGGCTCACTCTGAGCATTCAGGGAATGTGTTTTCATTGTTTACTGGGAAGAGCCAGCCACACAAGTTTATATAAAATGATCTCAGCTTTTTTTAAAAAAAAAATTTTATTTTAAAAAAAGATTTTATTTATTTATTTGACAGAGACAGAGAGAGAACACGAGAAGGGGCAGCGGCAGACAGAGGGAGAGGGAGAAGCAGGCTCCCCGCTGAGCAGGGAGCCCAATGCGGGACTCGATGCGGGGCTCGATCCCAGACCGTGGGATCATGACCTGAGCCGAAGGCAGACGTTCAACCAATTGAGCCACCCAGGCGCACTCCTTGTTTAGATTTTTAAAAAAGTAATCTCTTCACCCAACCTGGGGCTCTAATTTACAATCCCGAGATCAAGAGTCACACGCTCTACCAACTGAGCCAGCCAGGTGCCCTTTGTAATTGAAATTTTGATTAAGATGGGTATAGATCCACATGCAAGAAATAATACAGAGAGAAGCCATTGCGAACTTTGCCCAGATTCCCCCAGTGGTAATATTTTCGAGAACTGTAGTATAACCACAGCTAGGATATTGACATTGATATAATTCCCAATCTTTTCCCCTAGTTTTATTGTAGTTGTGTGGTGTGTGTGTTAAGTTCTGTCGTCTCCACCCTCTCATAATCTCATTAAAAAATTAAAAATCTGAAAGGATACAGCTCAAAATGAGGGCAATGGCTATTATCCCTGAGGAATTGTTTTCTTTTTGCAGATCTGCATTTTCTAATTTTTCACTATAATCATGTAATTGAAAACATTGTAAGAAAAAACTCTGATGGGGCGCCTGGGTGGCCCAGTCAGTTAAGCATCTGCCTTCCCCTCAGATCATGATCCCTGCTCAGTGGGGAGCCTGCTTCTCCCTCTCCCTCTGCTGCTCCCCCTGCTTGTGCTCTCTCTCTCAAATAAAAAAATTAATTAATTAAAAAAAAAACAGGGTGCCTGGGTGGCTCAGTTGGTTAAGCGACTGCCTTCGGCTCAGGTCATGATCCTGGAGTCCCGGGATC